CCGGCCGCCCACCACGACTGAGGGCACACCAGGAGCCCACCAAGACCCACCAACTCCCGGCACCTCTCGGCCAAGCCGGCCCCCGAACACCGTCACCCCGCCGGGAGAACCAGCCAGAACACGCCAAAAAAAATCTATCAACAATCCCGTGACCCAAGGCGATATGTGCGCCAGGCGTCGTACAATCGGACCGTTGAAAAGGGATGCCAAACGGCAGTAGCAAAGCCAAAACGCGAAAACAAGACGTGATCAGGCGGCTCCCAGGCGGAGGAGGTGTCCAGACGTCCGCTCGGCCTCAAGGTTGAACCAGGAGACCCCACCACACCCACCATAACCCCACCACACTCACCATAACTGCACAAGACCCACCATAACCCCACCACACCCTCCATAACTGCACAAGACCCACCATAACCCCACCACACTCACCATAACTGCACAAGACCCTCCATAACCCCACCACACCCACCATAACTGAACAAGACCCACCATAATCCCACCACACTTATAATCTACATAACCCCACCACACTAATAAACAAGACCCACCATAACCCCACCACACCCTCCATAACTGGAAATGTTCGTAACCCCACCACACCCACCATAACTGTTCAAAACACCTAATCTCCGAAAGTTCTTCACCAATTGCTTTGGAATTTTCATAACGTTCCAATCACATCCGAGCGGGATTTTATATACATTTTATGTAGATGTCACGTCTGTGATGGGGAAAAAAACATGCTTTTTTAAAAAACTGTGTTTTTCATGTGAGGGAAATCTTTGAAACCTCTTTACCGATTGCTTTAAAATTTTGACACAACGTTGCATTCGAAATGGGGGCGTGCTTATATATACCTACTATATACATGCCTCACCTGTGACAGGAAAAAACATGTTTTGTTTGAAAAACAGAGCCATCTGTTGGATGAAAGAGCAACACAATCTGTAATCCCCCAAAATTCTTCACCGATTGCTGTGAAATTTAGACACAAAGTTCTGTTCGAATACGCGCGTGTTTTTATATATCTACTATATAGTTGCCACACCTGGGACAGGTAAAAACATGCTTCTTTTTATAAAAAAAAAAAAAAACAGCGCCATCTGTTGCACGTAAGAGCAACACACTCAATAATAAATATGATACGCTTCCATTTCAGTGTTTCCGATTGCATTGATAAATTGAATTTTCATAGATTTCAATTTATTTTCATTTTGATTTATTATTTTGTTTGACAGTGTCTTGGAATTGAGCTGTGTTGTTTACCATACCATTTATTTCGTAAGTATAAATATCTCCGAAAGTTCTTCACCGATGGCTTTGAAATTTAGACACAACATTCCATTCGAATACGGGCGTGCTTTTATATACCTACTATATAGTTGCCACACCTGTGACACGTAAAACATGCTTTTCTTCAAAAGCAACGTCATATGTTGCACATAAGAGCAACACACGCTATACTAAATATGTTACGATTCCATTTCAATATTTCCCATTTCATTGATAAATTAAATTTTCATTGTTTTCGAGTTATTTTCATTTTGATTTAATTATTTTGTGTGACATTGTGTTGGAATTGTGCTTTATTGTTTTCCTTACCGTTCATTTCGAGAGTATTGTTTTTTCATTGTTTTTCATTTTGTTTTGGTAACATCAGATCACTTGATGTTCCCTATTTTCTGATGGGAACATCAGATCATTTGGGAATGCATCAGACGAGGGAGTGTGGAATGGTGGGGAGGACGAGGGGACGTGGGAGTTGGGCCTGGTGGGGACGAGGGGACAGGGGAATGGAGAATGGTGGGGAGGACGAGGGGACGAGGAAGGGGGGAATGGTAGAGAGGACGAGGGGATGGAGGAGTAGGGAATCGTCTGGAGGACGACAGGACGTTGGAGTGGGAAATGGTGGGGAGAGCAAAGGGACGGGAGAGAGGGGGACTTGTGGGGAGGATGAGGGGGACGGGAGAGAAGGGAGGACGAGGGGCAGGGGGAAGGCTGCTGTGACTCAGCAACGCACATGCGTTGCTGAGCAATAACAACGCATGGTTGGGTACAGCTAGCCTATATAAATAAAAATAGAAGTGTTCGTTTGTTCAAAATCGCTAATCTTCGAAAATTATTCACCGATTGCTTTGAAATTTTCACACAACGTTCCATTCACATCTGAGCAAGTTTTTGTATACATGCTATATAGATGTCACGTTTGTGACGAGAGAAAATTGGTTTGAAACGTTGACACAACGTTGCATTTGAATAGGTGCATGTTTTCATATACGAACTATATACATGCCTCACCTGTGACAGGAAAAAACATGTTTTTTTTTTTTTAAATAAAAGCCATCCGTTGGACGTAAGAACAACACATGCTGTAATACGTGCGTATTTTTAAATACCTATTATATAGATGCAACAACAGTGACCAGTAAAAACAATTTTTTTTTAAACAGTACCATCTGTTACACGTAAGAGCAACACACGCTATACTAAATATGTTACGATTCCATTTCAGTGTTTCCGATTGCATTGATAAATTTAATTTTCATAGATTTCGATTTATTTTCATTTTGATTTAATTATTTTGTGTGACATTGCCTAGGAATGGAGCTGTGTTGATTACTATACCGTTCATTTCGTGAGCATAGATTATTTTTTAATTTTTTTATTTTTTTCATTTCGTTTTTTAACTGTTCTTTTTCAGCAATGGGAACATCAGATCATTTGATGTTCCCAATTTTCTGAAGGGAATATCAGATCATTTAATTATGCAGTGTATGAGGGACTGGGGAATGATGGGGAGGACGAGGGGACAGGGGAGGGGGGGATAGTGTGGAGGACTAGGGGACGGGGAAGGGGGGAATAGGAGGGGATGGTGGGGACCAAAAAATAGAGCATGGTGGGGAGGACGAGGCGATGGTGGAGTGGGGAATGGTTGGGAAGACGAGGGGACGGGGTAGAATGGTGGGGAGGACAAGGGAACAGGGAAAGGTTGCTGAATCCACAGCAACGCATATCCGGGTACAGCTAGTAACTCAATAAAATGCCCTATAATTGTACCATACCCACCATAACACCAGAAGACCCACCATAAACCCACCACACCCACCATAACCTCTCAACACCCTCTATATCACCACCACACCCACCATAACCCCTGAACACCCTCTATATCACCACCACACCCACCTTAACCTCTCAACACCCTCTATATCACCACCACACCCACCTTAACCTCTCAACACCCTCTATATCACCACCACACCCACCATAACCCCTCAACACCCTCTATATCACCACCACACCCACCTTAACCTCTTAACACCCTCTATATCACCACCACACCCACCATAACCTCTCAACACCCTCTATATCACCACCACACCCACCATAACCCCTCAACACCCTCTATATCACCACCACACCCACCATAACCTCTCAACACCCTCTATATCACCACCACACCCACCTTAACCTCTCAACACCCTCTATATCACCACCACACCCACCATAACCTCTCAACACCCTCTATATCACCACCACACCCACCTTAACCTCTCAACACCCTCTATATCACCACCACACCCACCTTAACCTCTCAACACCCTCTATATCACCACCACACCCACCATAACCCCTCAACACCCTCTATATCACCACCACACCCACCTTAACCTCTCAACACCCTCTATATCACCACTACACCCACCATAACCCCTCAACACTCTCTATATCACCACCACACCCACCTTAACCTCTCAACACCCTCTATATCACCACCACACCCACCATAACCCCTCAACACCCTCTATATCACCACCACACCCACCTTAACCCCTCAACACCCTCTATATCACCACCACACCCACCTTAACCCCTCAACACCCTCTATATCACCACCACACCCACCATAACTCCTCAACACCCTCTATATCACCACTACACCCACCTTAACCTCTTAACACCCTCTATATCACCACCACACCCACCTTAACCTCTCAACACCCTCTATATCACCACTACACCCACCTTAACCTCTTAACACCCTCTATATCACCACCACACCCACCATAACCCCTCAACACCCTCTATATCACCACTACACCCACCTTAACCTCTTAACACCCTCTATATCACCACCACACCCTCTACCATTAAGGATCCGTCCACATCAAACGAGAAATATTCAGAAAAGGTGGTCCAGCAAAATACCAATTAACCAGGCAGCCAAAACCCCACTCGGGTGCCGGACCAATACTCATTTGATCTTTGTTAGCGAAAGCAATTATTTGTATGTTATTGTGGTGGGGTTAGTGTGGGGTTAGTGTGGGGGTGTTCTGTTGATGTTCGCATCAGGGTTCGCGCCCTCCTCCCCAACTGACTCCAATAACGAGGGTTTCTGGTGACGACGAGGCGCATGGCGGCTGTGTTGGTTTGGTTCACATTACTAATGGGACGTTAGCCTGTCGTGTCAATCTCATTCCCCGCCGATTGGCTCGTATTATACGGGTTTACGTCGATCTCTCTCGTTCCGTTGGGCGGGCGCGGTGCGGGCGGCCCGCTGACCGCCCACGCCCACCGCCATCGTAACAACCGTAGGGAAGATAATTGCTATTTGGTGTAACGAGGCTCGCGACCTGTCCCATACCGGCCACTTTTGATGACAAGGCCGCCAGGGTCGCCAACCTTAATGCCTCCTGTATAAACCAATCTTGATCCACCGTCATACAGATTACGGGGGCCATATGGCCCCCACTGAGTGCTAGGGGGCCCTCGGGTCCATGGAGCCCCACTGAGGGCCCTACAGAAGGGGGAAGATGAGGAGGGAGGTGGGGCCTCTCCAACCATCCACCTGTTGCTGGCGCCACCCACCAGGTGGGCGGGGCGCCACCCGGCAGGTGGGCGGGGCGCGCCAGGGTAGTATATAAGGCGCTCGACGGCCGGTACTGTGCCAGACCCCTCGCCGCCCACACCACCACCTGCACCACTCTCACACCGCCACCATGACAGCGCAGATGTTCACCATCGCTCTGCTTCTCTCACTCTCAGCCATCGCTGCTGCAGGAACTATCAAGGTCAGTCTTCACCTCCAGTATGCTCTGACACACCTGGTGTGACCTAGAGTCACCTGGTGTGACCTAGAGTCACCTGGTGTGACCTAGAGTCACCTGGTGTGACCTAGAGTCAGGTCACACCAGGTGTCGTCGGCTTGAACCCTTCCAAGACATGTTTTCAATTAATTTGTCAATTCTGAGAATCTAAACTGCTTTCGATGCGTACTTGTTTAATCCTTAGTCGTCGAGTTATTAATCCTGGGGTCACGGGTGTTGGACCAGGGGTCACGGGTGTTGAACCAGGGGTCACGGGTGTTGGACCAGGGGTCACGGGTGTTGAGTCAGGGGTCACGGGTGTTGGACCTGGGGTCACAGGTGTTAAAACTGAGAGCAGAGGGATCATGTTAAACCTTGCGTCACGTTGAGCCAGGCTTCACAGGTGTTGTAGTAAGGGGTCTCAGGTGTTGATCAAAGGGGTTACAGACATTGGACCAGTAACGGTAACGGAGGTTGACCCTGGTTGTCACACGTGTTGACCCTGGTTGTCACACGTGTTGACCCTGGTTGTCACACGTGTTGACCCTGGTTGTCACGTGTTGACCCTGGTTGTCACGTGTTGACCCTGGTTGTCACGTGTTGACCCTGGTTGTCACGTGTTGAGTCTGGTTGTCACGTGTTGACCCTGGTTGTCACACGTGTTGACCCTGGTTGTCACACGTGTTGACCCTGGTTGTCACACGTGTTGACCCTGGTTGTCACGTGTTGACCCTGGTTGTCACGTGTTGAGCCTGGTTGTCACGTGTTGACCCTGGTTGTCACGTGTTGAGCCTGGTTGTCACGTGTTGACCCTGGTTGTCACGTGTTGACGCTGGTTGTCACGTGTTGACTCTGGTTGTCACGTGTTGACCCTGGTTGTCCCGTCTTGAGTACTGCTCAGTACTCACTTTCCCCTTCAGAGCAGGAGAGATTGCTGAAATAGAGGGAATACAGAGAACATATACGGCACGCATAGACGCGATAAAACACCTAAATTATTGGGATCGTCTCAAAGCTCTCCAAATGTACACACTAGAAAGGAGACGAGAGAGATACCAAATAATATACACATGGAAAATACTGGAGGGCCAGGTCCCAAATCTACACAGTAAAATAACAACATACTGGAGTGAACGATATGGAAGAAAATGCAGAATAGAACCAGTGAAGAGCAGAGGTGCCATAGGCACAATCAGAGAACACTGTATAAACATCAGATGTCCACGGTTGTTCAACGTCCTCCCCGCGCCTGAACAACCGTTGACATCTTCAAGAGGAAACTAGATAGTTTCCTCCAAGGAGTGCCGGACCAACCGGGCTGTGGTGGGTATGTGGGCCTGCGGGCCGCTCCAAGCAACAGCCTGGTGGACCAAACTCTCACAAGCTCTACTCCCCAAGCCCCGCCTCGGTCCGGGCTTGGGGAGAAGAACTCCCAGAAACCCGTCAAGCAGGTGTTGAACCTGGGGTCACTGGTGTCGAACCTGGGGTCACGGTGTTGAACCTGGGGTCACGTATGGAGCCAGGAGTCACGGGTATCGAACCACGGGTCACGATAATACCGTGTTGAGACAGCGTTCTGTGCACACGTCCAAACTTGACCCCAGGTGAAGCGTGTCACAGTGAAAGGTCAGGGGTCAGGGTCAGAGGTCAGGGGTCAGAGGTCAGGGGTCAGAGGTCAGGGGTCATACGCCAGGCTCCTACAGTTATACACTTCCCTTAAGCTAAAAGGAAAAATATTATTGGCCCCAAAATTCGTATATTTGGCCGGACAGGTGTTGACGGGCTGTGGGCAGGTGTTGACGGGCTGTGAGCAGGTGTTGACGGACTGTGAGCAGGTGTTGACGGGCTCTGGGCAGGTGTTGACGGGCTCTGGGCAGGTGTTGACGGGCTCTAGGGAGGTGATGACAGGTGTTGACGGGCTCGGGGCAGGTGTTGACGGGCTCGGGGCAGGTGTTGACGGACTCGGGGCAGGTGTTGACGGGCTCGGGGCAGGTGTTGACGGGCTCGGGGCAGGTGTTGACGGGCTCGGGGCAGGTGTTGACGGGCTCGGGGCAGGTGTTGACGGGCTCGGGGCAGGTGTTGACGGGCTCGGGGCAGGTGTTGACGGGTTCTGGGCAGGTGATGACGGGCTGTGCGCAGGTGTTGACGGGCTGTGGGCAGGTGTTGACGGGCTGTGGGCAGGTGTTGACGGGCTGTGGGCAGGTGTTGACGGGCTGTGGGCAGGTGTTGACGGGCTCGGGGCAGGTGTTGACGGGCTCGGGGCAGGTGTTGACGGGCTCGGGGCAGGTGTTGACGGACTCGAGGCAGGTGTTGATGGGCTCGGGGCAGGTGTTGACGGGCTGTGGGCAGGTGTTGACGGGCTGTGCGCAGGTGTTGACGGGCAGTGGGCAGGCGTTGACGGGCAGTGGGCAGGCGTTGACGGGCAGTGGGCAGGCGTTGACGGGCTGTGGGCAGGTGTTGACGGGCTCGGGGCAGGTGTTGACGGGCTCGGGGCAGGTGTTGACGGGTTCGGGGCAGGTGTTGACGGGCTCGGGGCACGTGTTGACGGACTCGAGGCAGGTGTTGACGGCCTCGGGGCAGGTGTCGGACTCTAAAGATCAGTTCTCACGCCTCTTCCGTGTAGAGCCTCTCTTGTACTCACCTAGTTGTGCTTGCGGGGGTTGAGTTTTGGCTCTTTGGTCCCGCCTCTCAACTGTCAATCAACTGGTGTACAGGTTCCTGAGCCTACTGGGCTCTATCATATCTACACTTGAAACTGTGTATGGAGTCAGCCTCCACCACATCACTGCCTAATGCATTCCACCTGTTAACTACTCTGACACTGAAAAAATTCTTTCTAATGTCTCTATAGCTCATTTGGGTACGCAGTTTCCACCTGTGTCCCCTTGTTCGCGTTCCCCTTATTTTAAATAGCCTGTCTTTATCTACCCTGTCGATTCCCTTGAGAATCAAGGGAATCGACAATTGAAATTGTAGAGCCTCACCCGTGTAGAGCCTCACCCGTGTAGAGCCTCATCTGAGTAGAGGCTCTCCTGTGTAGAGCCTCACCCGTGTAGAGCCTCTCCTGTGTAGTCTCACCCGTGTAAAGCCTCACCTGTGTAGAGCCTCACCTGTGTAGAGCCTCTTCTATGTAGAGCCTCTCCTGTGTAGAGCCTCTCCTGTGTAGAGCCTCTCCTGTGTAGAGCCTCTCCTGTGTAGAGCCTCTCCTGTGTAGAGCCTCTCCTGTGTAGAGCCTCTCCTGTGTAGAGCCTCTCCTGTGTAGAGCCTCGCCCGTGTAGAGTCTCTCCTGTGTAGAGCCTCTCCTGTGTAGAACCTCTCCTGTGTAGAACCTCTCCTGTGTAGAGCCTCTCCTGTGTAGAGCCTCTCCTGTGTAGAGCCTCTCCTGTGTAGAGCCTCTCCTGTGTAGAGCCTCTCCTGTGTAGAGCCTCACCCGTGTAGAGTCTCTCCTGTGTAGAGTCTCTCCTGTGTAGAGCCTCTCCTGTGTAGAGCCTCTCCTGTGTAGAGCCTCTCCTGTGTAGAGCCTCACCCGTGTAGAGTCTCTCCCGTGTAGAGCCTCTCCCGTATAGAGCCTCTCCCGTGTAGAGCCTCACCCGTGTAGAGCCTCTCCCGTGTAGAGCCTCACCCGTGTAGAGCCTCTCCCGTGTAGAGCCTCACCCGTGTAGAGCCTCTCCCGTGTAGAGCCTCACCCGTGTAGAGCCTCTCCCGTGTAGAGCCTCACCCGTGTAGAGCCTCTCCTATGTAGAGCTTCTCCTGTGTAGAGCCTCTCCTGTGTAGAGCCTCTCCTGTATAGAGCCTCTCCTGTGTAGAGCCTCTCCTGTGTAGAGTCTCACCCGTGTAGAGCCTCACCTGTGTAGAGCCTCTCCTGTGTAGAGCCTCTCCTGTGTAGAGCCTCTCCTGTGTAGAGCCTCACCCGTGTAGAGCTTCACCCGTGTAGAGCCTCTCTCGTGTAGAGCCTCACCCGTGTAGAGCCTCTCCTATGTAGAGCTTCTCCTGTGCAGAGCCTCTCCTGTGTAGAGCCTCTCCTGTGTAGAGCCTCTCCTGTGTAGAGTCTCACCCGTGTAGAGCCTCTCCTGTGTAGAGCCTCTCCCGTATAGAGCCTCTCCCGTGTAGAGCCTCACCTGTGTAGAGCCTCTCCCGTGTAGAGCCTCTCCTGTGTAGAGCCTCTCCTGTGTAGAGCCTCTCCTGTGTAGAGCCTTTCCTGTATAGAGCCTCACCCATGTAGAGCCTCGCCTGTGTAGAGCCTCACCCGTGTAGAGCCTCTCCCGTGTAGAGCCTCACCCTTGTAGAGCCTCTCCCGTGTAGAGCCCCTCTCGTGTAGAGCCTCTCCCGTGTAGAGCCTCACCTGTGTAGAGCCTCACCCGTGTAGAGCCTCACCTGTGTAGAGCCTCACCTGTGTAGAGCCTCACCTGTGTAGAGCCTCACATGTGTAGAGCCTCTCCTGTGTAGAGCCTCACATGTGTAGAGTCTCTCCTGTGTAGAGCCTCTCCTGTGTAGAGTCTCTCCTGTGTAGAGCCTCACCTGTGTAGAGTCTCTCCTGTGTAGAGCCTCATCTGTGTAGCGCCTCTCCTGTGTAGAGCCTCTCCTGTGTAGAGTCTCACCCGTGTAGAGCCTCACCCGTGTAGAGCCTCTCCTATGTAGAGCTTCTCCTGTGTAGAGCCTCTCCCGTGTAGAGCCTCACCTGTGTAGAGCCTCACCCGTGTAGAGGCTCACCTGTGTAGAGCCTCACCCGTGTAGAGCCTCTTCTGTGTAGAGTCTCACCCATGTAGAGCCTCACCCGTGTAGAGCCTCTCCTGTGTAGAGCCTCTCCTGTGTAGAGCCTCACCCGTGTAGAGCCTCTCTTGTGTAGAGCCTCTCCTGTGTAGAGCCTCACCCGTGTAGAGCCTCATCTGTGTAGAGCCTCTCCTGTGTAGAGCCTCATCCGTGTAGAGCCTCTCCTGTGTAGAGCCTCTCCTGTGTAGAGCCTCATCCGTGTAGAGCCTCTCCTG